CCAGTGTCTCCAGGACTGATGAGAGAATGGAGACCCATGTGTGATCTGAAGGGCAGGAATCTCATCCCCAAAATTAGATGGTGAAGATAGGGGAGAAGCTCATTTCCCCAGTTGAACCATACTTTGTTTCGGGGTGCACATTGTGGCTTGATTGTCTCATCTTTTCTATCTATGGTGGAGATTTCACAGCCCAATAAGTATTTACATTTTTACCAATAGGTACATTGCCTCTTCTCTTTCTTAATCTCCTAATCTCTTTCTGAATCTGGCTCTTGGTTCCTCCTAGGAAAGGGAGAATAAGAGATTTATTCCTTGAAATACACCACAGTTGATTTATTTGGGTACTATCTAGATGGAGTAGGATTTCTGCAGTCCACTCTCCAGTGCTAAACGTACCTTGAAAGCTGAAATATGATCTAAACAGACATGTAAACATCACTCCTCTGCACTATCCACAATTACAGATTGATAAAAAACTCAGGACCTCTACTGCCCATATGTTCTGCCATTTGGTGCAGTTCTCACCCCACTGGTACAGCTTTACTATTGTGGGAGCCTCTATCTGGAGTGTGGCTTTCTCAGTCCACTCTCTGACCAGACTTTCACCAAGGACAAAAGCAGTCTTCATCTTCAGAACCTTCTAAAATGGGTCCTCAGTAGAATTTCCGAGGACTGACTGGGCAAGCGACTGCTGCCTTCAAGTAGGACCTCTCTGGTATAATGTTAAGCAAAGGGGTGAATCTGCATTATTTGCAGTTCTTCTATCACAAAAGAGGCTCTTAGAATCAATCCCATGCTTTCAGCTTGACTCTGAAATTGTGGAGTGATCTTTTCCCTTTCAGAAAACTGATAAAATGGCTGTAATACCCCCCCCCACCAAGTACCTGGATGTGAGTGTGAATGAATGAATATGTGAAAGAATGAATAAGTCATCACTGAGGTGTCCTCTAAGCTCCAGGAACCTCACAAAATGGCTCTGAGACTCCCCCATGTCCCATCAAGCAGAAGCTTTTGGAGGCTTAGTTCCTACAAGTCATTCAGAGTTTGGCACAGAACCCTCAAAAAATACAGTGTAACTTTATTATCCCAACTTATTAATTAGGATGGGCCTTCAGAGTCCTACTCCAATATTCCCATTTTACTCAAAATATATCATATGCCTTCATTTGGAAAACTCTGAAGCAATTCCTATGTGTTGTAGAGGAGGAGCGGGCTGTGTCCTGCCACCTGGTTAGCTTAACCCCTGAAATCACCACACAGAAATTGTATTAATTAAATTACTGCCTGGCCCATTAGGTCTAGCCATATTGGCTAACTCTCACATCTTGATTAACCCATTTTTATTAAATCTGTGTATCATCATGTGACTGTGGCTTACAGGCAAGATTTTAACCTACAGCCATCTCAGGCTGGAGATTCATGGTGTCTGCCACATTTCCCTTCTTCCCGACATTCTGTTCTGTCTACACTGACCATCTAAGGGCTGCCCTATCAAAAGGTCAAGGCAGTTTTTTTATTCAACCAATGAAAGCAACACAAATACAGAAAGACCTCCTACACCACCTATAGATAGGGTTACTCCCCATCTTCTAGAAGAAGCAGAAGGGGCTCATTTCCACAAGTGATGGACACTAGCTAAATTATATAACCTGAGGTCTCTCTGCCAAGAGTCTAGCTTACACAGTCCACTCTCATGTCTCCTCACTTATCTCTGACAAAGTCTAAAAATGGTACTGGTGAAAGAAAGGTCCCAGGGAGCGAAAGAGTAAGGAATACAAACATATAAGTGGGCCTCACTTGGAACTATGCTGAACACAGGCATGAAACTGTATTATTTGGGAGCGTTCTATCCTGAAAGAGGCTTTTAGAGTTCACCCTGAGTGTTTACTTATCTAGGATGGCGTTTCTACAAACCACCCTCAGCTTTCATCTTGACTCTAAAATTATCTATGCAAAATTCCAAGTGTTTTTCGTTACTCAAAAGATTTAGATCTGGTAAAGATATAAGCAAGGAATGGCTATTTAAAGAACAAAAATAGCCAAAGATAAATAATAATTAGGCTCTGGACCTACAGCATGCCTAATTCTACACATTTATGATGTTGAAATCTATCAACTTTTACAGATGCAACTCCTATGTAGGTATTTACATTTTTAGAGGGTTGGTTTTGTTTAGCTTTTCTGCCGACCATGATCCATAACAACTTGTAAACAACGTCCTAAACAAAGGCAAATATCAATAATCCATTATTTTGGGGAATGTGGGCATAGTTTTCTAGGTTACTTCCTGCTGATTGGGGGCACTAATAATCTTATTGGGACCTAAAGAAAATTTAGAATTATGGTCAAGTCCTGACTTGGATATCCTGTGAGGCTGGATCATCTCAGGAAGCAGTCTTGAATCTGTTCTGGATGTGGAACTCAGACATCCGGGTTATCTGTTGTTGCAAAAGGAGCGGCGGGCTGCGTTCCTGCCAGGATCCTGGCTCCCTGACTCACCCGAGATAACAACACACAAATTGTATTCATTTAAACACTGCCTGGCCCATTAGCTCTAGCCTCTTCTTGGCTAACTCTCACATCTTGATTAACCCATTTCTATTGTCTGTATCACCACTTGACTGTGGCTTACCGGCATGAGTCTAACCACTGTCCGTCTTGGGTAGGAGAAGTATGGCATCTGCCTGACTCTGCTTCTTTCTCCCAGCATTCTTTTCTGTCTACTCCACCTATCTAAGCTGCTGTCTTATCAAAAGCCAAGGCAGTTTCTTTACTAACCAATGAAAGCAATACATAGACAGATGACCCTCCTACATCAATCTGTTCCTACCAAAGATTTCTCAAGGGATCTTCCTTTGTCAAACCTGATTTTCTTAACACTGAATGAATCGACAGTCCCTCATTTCCTGTGGAAACAAAAGTAAAACCTCTTCTTCAAAGTAACATATCTTTTGACTTAAATTTTGAAGTTAAAGCATTTCATATATGTGTGTGTGTGTGTGTGTGTGTGTGTGAGTGTGTGTGTGTGTGTATGTATAATGATTAATCCAGCAGCATGTATAATCAAATGTCTTTTAGCAGCTTTTGCTCCTTTCTCCATCATCAAACAATTTAAAGACAACACAATAACATCCAGTATCCAGACTCTCTGTGTATTTTTCATCTCTTTGTGGCTTTATTTTAACCTCTATTTCTTTCATTTTTATTTTTAATTTTTGGCTTTTTGAGATAGGGTTTCTCTGTGTATCGTTGGCTGTCCTGGAATTCACTCTGTAGACCAGGCTATCCTTGAACTCACAGAGATCTGCCTGCCTCTTCTTCCCAAGAGTTGGGATTAAAGATGTGAGCTACCACACCTAACTATTCTTTTTGTTGTTGTTATTTTAAGAACTTTCTTTTTTCCTATTCTCTCCCAAGCCTATATATATGTACATATATATATATATATATATATATATATATATATATATATATTTAAACTGTAAATGGTTTAGAGACTTTTTTGTCTGAATTTACATATACTGTATATCTCTCTTTTTCTAACTACATGAGTTTTTAATTTGCTAAATGATATGGCTAGGATTAAAGCCATGGCTTTTATGGCTGGATCCAGCCCATTCTTTAGCTTTCTGAGAGTCTATCCTCAAGGCAGGGGTACCTGCCACAGCCATGTTTATTGTCACAATTCTATGGAGTTTCAAGGTCCCTGTCACCACCAAGAAACAGGCTGTCAGCAACTCATAAACATCATTTAATTCTTTGGATGCTAGGTCTCTTTAAAGGTGAAAAGTCTCACAGCTAAAGCTGAGTCAGGAAGCCTCTTTTAAATGAGATGTGCTTGCCTCCAGCAAAGAGAGCAAACCTAAGAAATTGCTGCTACCAAGAAGCTATGCTTATTGCTGTTATTTTGTGTCTGGAATTACTTCCCAAGCTCTCCCAGGTTTTCTTTGGATGCAGTTGTCTACACATTGGGCATCATTTGTTGGGCAAGTTTTCTGTCCCACCAGGTCCCACAGTTAAGTTCCAAAGAAATCACACAGAGGTGTACATTAATTATAAACTGATAGGCCCATTAGCTCAGACTTCACATTAACTAATTCTTACATCTTTCATTATCCCATAATTCTTGTCTGTGTTAACCATGTGGCTTGGTACCTTTTTCAGCGAGGCAGTCACATCTTGCTTGCTCTGTGTCTGATTTCCTCTGCAGCTGGGTGATGACTGCAGACTGAAATTTCCTTCTTACCAGAATTCTCATTGTCCCACCTCTACTTCCTGCCTCGTCACCCCACCTATACTTCCTTCCTGGCTACTGGGCAGTCAGTGTTTATTGAAAATCCAAGCGCCAGTCCCACAGCAGTGAATGTGTTTCATTACCATTGATTTAATAAAGAAGTTGCTTTGGTCTATGGCAGGGCAGGACATAGCAAAGCAGGAAATCCAAACAAAGATAGAGAAGAAAAGAAGACTGAGTCATCGAAACACCATGTAGCTGCCAAAGGAAAAAGATGCCAGAACTTACCAGTAGGCCACAGCTTGTGGTGATACACAAATTAATAGAAATAGGTTAATTTAAGTTGTAAGAGCTAGCTAAAATTAAGTGTGATTATTCGGGTTTGAGTGGCTGAAAAACCAAAGAGCAGTCTCTATTTACACTGGCACAAAATATAAAACATTTTATTAGATATTTTCATAAATATCTGGTGTTTGCTGATTTTTTCCCTTACTACATTCTCCTATCCTCTTCCCCTCTTTTGTCTTTTTCTTTACCTAGTAGTCCTCATTCCACTTTTATGTCATATATACTCTATTACTACTCTTACCCTTGCTCCAGTTTCTTAAGACTTCATTTTCCTTCTCATGGCTGTCTTTTAAGATTCATAACTTACATCACAAATACATACATATGTAAAAAATTAAAATTCAGGAAGACCATATAAAAGATTGCATTTAGCATGTATTTTTCAATGTCTGCCTTACTAGGCTTTACATAATATGAAAATAGTTATCAGATGCAATACAATAAAATAGGTGGCAGCACTTTAACTATATGCTTGGTATTTTTTTGTTTGAGTACCTCTTCCATTCTTGACAGGGAATGATAAACTTTTCTTTTTTTGTATAACATTGCATTACTATTCTTTTGATGATATTAGCATGATTATAATGATGAAAAGATCCCATATGGAGCAAATACAGAAAAAATTATAGTGATTTATTGCCCAGATTAAAATCAACTGTCAAGAATAAGCAAACATTAATATTAATTGATCTGAAAAATCAAAATATCCATAACAATTAGAAGCAAGGAAATAAAAAGAACATCAAAACCAATGAGAGTGAAGTCAGAATTAAACCAATAAAATTATAAAAGTCAGGTTTGTGAAAGCTGCAACACTAGCCAGACAGGGAAATTTAAAGACCACTCATAGTTTGTCAGGAAAAAAAAAACATGAAATGTCACTATAAAACATAATGCCATGAACAGAATACAACTGAAAACAGCATTCAAAAGGGCTTTTGTTGATATATACTGCTTGGTGTGGGTATGGGTATCTTGAGCTGATCTATGTGATATCATTTTTTATGCCTCCATAATCCCTGATTTTCCTTAGAGAATGGTTACATGTGATATGAAGTGAACAGCCTTTTGGGGTTCCTTCTTTGTTGGGGTGGTGGTGAGCTTACACCCATTCCAGGATTAACCGTGATATTTTAATCACACTGTGCCCCTTTGCTCTGGTATTTACCATGTAGAGTAATGTGCTCCTATGGTTCCATTGTCTTCACATATCTGTCTCTCTTACTTGTTTGTAGTAATTTTCCATACATACTCCCTTTAAGACATGACAGATGTTTTGTTTTAGTTTGTTTCATTCCACTTTTGCTTTTGTCAATGACCAAGATTTCATAGTTGCTTCCATGCTCAAATTACACAGAAGGAAATATTATTTGGGAATCATAACCCAACATGGTTCTTTTATGAAGAATACACAGACAGGGTCATGTAGCCTAAAGAATGACAGTATGTGTCAACATAAAAAATTACACCAGGTTTTTTTCCCCACATCAAATAGAGTTAAACCTGTCATGCTAGAGTATTGAGAAGAGCTGTATAGAAAGAATATTGGAATTATCGTGAGGAGGCCACTTGATGAAGGATTTTTTTAAGAGAATTGTGACACATTTTTATTTTTGAATATTTGTAGCAGCAATGCATATAACCCATGTATTCATGTATTATGAAGTATGTGCAATACTAATTAATATCATATATAATAAATGTATATATTATCACAAAAATAGTATGTGTGTTTCTTCCTGCTTAGGTAGTAGTAGAATAGCAATTGCAGTGGGGTAACTAGAAATTTTATAACTGTTGTCCATGTAAAACAAAAAATAGCTACTGTATCCTGTGTATCTTTATCTGTTGGTTAAGCTTCTAAGACCAGATTTACCCTGAAATTCATGTATTCTTCTTTTTAAGGTAATTTTCTTCCATGTTCAACCTGACCATTCTTTGCCTGAACATTTAATTAGCTGCACAAGTCAGCATGGAAGTCAGATATAGAGATGGTGTGATACTCATTCTGGCCTCCAGAGGAGGCAATTGAAGCATCTGCTAAGAAAGAGGTACATAAAGAACCCTGGTCTCTTCCCAGCACTGTCTCCTCTTAGGTGGGTATTTGTAAAATTCCCAAGTCTGGGAGCCATAGGGCTCTTCAACTAAGAAATGATAGAGCTAGTCTGATAGGGCTGCTGGAATATGTATTCTGCCTTTGAAGGTACCTGTACAGTTTTTTTAGGGTAACCATAGTGAAAGACAGATGACTTTTTTTTTTTTTTTTAGAATTTTATCCTTATTTCTTCCACCTTGGGGACATACTGTTGTCCACAGTTGCTAGGATATAGCAGAGAACGTGTAGAGCAGTGGGACACAATATAGCTAATCACTCAAAATAAAATTTCTGGAATAAAACTCACTAAATCCTCCTTCTTTTTGGACACACTTCAAAATCTGAGTGCAGATTAACCACCCTTACAGGTATGCTCCTAGAGTGTGAGTCACAGACCAGCTTCTCACTTCCATCCCTCCCAGAGGAGTTTTCAGGCAAACCACTATCTTCAATGGTTCACCAACTGTACTGGAGATAACTCAAGTAAATGTTATCTTGGGGTTGAAAAGCTGAATCAGAGGGTAAAAGTGCTAAATGCTTCAGGTGGCCAATTTGAGATATACTTCTCAAAACCACATAAAGAGTGAGGTTCAATAGAGTGCGGCTGAAATCCTGCCACTTCTTTTTTGAGCGTGGTGGTAGAGGAAGAATTGGCCTGAATCTCTCAGGACTGCTAGCCCTGGAGTACAAAGTACAGCAACAGAAGCAAGAGAGGTCCTGCTTCAACATGGTGGAAGTCAAGAAACAATGTGAAAGTTGTCCTCTGCTGCCCACACATGTACAGTGGTATGCATGCATTGACCTCTTACTTTACAGACAAACACAAATAATTCTTTTTTCAATCTAGCTTTACCTGAGGCCAGATAGCTTGGTTATTCAAAGCACTTGTTTCTCTTTCTGTGCACCAAAGTTTTGTTTTCAGTACTGGCAGGCTAACATTCTAATTCCAGTTCCAAAGAATCTGGCACCTACTTCTGGCCTCCCTAGGCACCAGAACATGTGTACCCCCATTTACTTACATGCCAGAAAAACACTGATACACATAAGAAATAGTTAAAGTAATTTTAACAGTCAACTCTGTCTCCTCTGACCAAGGAGATAAATAAAAGTGGCCCTTTGTAGGAGTTATAGGCCTCACTTTTCCATTATTCCCCCATGTATGTGAAGAACATCCTTTAAAGCATAGCAGTAAAGTTTAGAGTGCATGAAATGTATTCAGCTGTAATTCCTAATCCTGTCTCAGGACAGGATTCTTCTTTAAAATTTTAAGTTTTTTGTTTTGAGGTGTTGGGGTTACTGTCTTCCTGATTGCATGTGACATCAAAGAGTTTGATCATTGAGTGAGAATCCCAGGTTGATTCCACTATTCTGAAGTTTACTAAAAATACCAGTTTTCCCTTCTCTCAGCCCTAAAGCAGCCACACCTCCAGAGAGCCTGGCTTTAATAATCCTCAGTTTAATAACAATCAATTCCCCCAGCCTCCCAAGTTGTCTTGGTTTAAGGCACACTGGACTACTCACCCCAGAAGAACCCTTTGCAGTCCTTCCTGTACTGGGGCTTATGGTATAAAAGAACTTCTCTCTTCACCACAGGGCTGCGGCTCCTACACACACCTTATCTAGAAGAAAACATGGATCTGGCTTCTTCTATGTACCAATTATCCATGGGTAGAGAGGGATCTGGTTTCTCCTACATGTCACTGCTAACTCAGAACTTTGCAAAGATCAGGTCCTCAGTGAAGGTTTCAGGAAGAGATTCCATTTAGCTTACTTTAGTTTTAATTTTAATTAATTAACTGGAATGAAAGACTAAAAACAGTAAGTCAATCAAAATTATATCATACTGTTTTTTATTTCTTTTCCATTGTCCAGGAAGTTTCAACTTTAATGTTTTCACATCTTGTTACATATTACAAATTAGAAAACATTTCTGTGTGATTTCAAGATAACAAAATTCTCCTAACCTGGATCAACAATAAATGCATTACTAATGTCATTTCTAAACTTAAAAATCTCAAGCAAATAAACCTTGTAGTATAAGTAGCAAAATCTTAAAGAGCCTTCTAAAGTCACATAAACAGAATAGTAAAAAAAGAATGGCTCACACTCTTTTCAAGGAAGTTCACTACATTTCTGCTCTGCCTGCCATAATATGGAATTAAAACGGTTAGTGTGGTAGAACTGGTGCGGCTCAGAGCAGGAGTAGCCATCTGCTGTACTTCTTTGGCCTAGGCCCGCTCTTGCTCCTCTCTCAAAGCCTCCGCATACTTTTCATGGTATGATCTAGGATCCTGCTTAACAATACTGGCATAAAATTCCAAGACTTTCATCTTGGTAGTTTCAGCATAGGCCCTTGGGCCCCATAGGTACTCATAGCGAGGAGGACAGCTGTTGTGCACCTGTCTGTACTCCACATAGCCTTCCTGCACAAAATATTCAGTGATGAGGCTCTTGGGCTCCCCAAATATGAAATGATTCACCCCAGCATACAGGCCTAGGCTATTCATCACATCCCAGAACACCTCCTCACTGACACAATTGTCCTCAATGAAGATGACACACAGTACAATTATCACCAGGCCTGTCTTGGGTACACCTAGAACCCCATGCATCATCCCATCATAGGTAATCCCCAAAGCAGGAAAAAGGAAATATGCATGAACAAAAGGGTCCACCTCCATCATGTCAATACCAAAGATCAACATCATACACTCAGAGGCCTTACTAAAGATCACAGAATAGTACTCCTCAAAATCTCTCATGGCCCTATTCATCATTTCTGCCTTGGTGGTTAGCTCCATCCTTCGAAACTTAATGAGCAGGAATCTCACCAAATCAACTATCTTTCCATTTAGTATACTCTGTTGGGAAGACTCGGGCTCAGCCACCTCCCCTTCTTCATTGTCAGAGGCTTCACCAGATGATGCCCCTCCCATGGTAGTGGGAGGAGTGGAAGCTCTCTCAGCACTCTGGGGACCAGCAGACACTTCCCCTGGGGCAGCTGCAGTGGCTTCTTCCTCGCCTGCCTCAGCTATGGAGACCTGGGCATCCTCCAGGCCCCTTTCCTCCACTTGGGCCTGAGGGCTATTTGGGAGGTTGATGCTCTGGTTGTTCTCAATAGAATCCATCTTGAGTTTCTTTTGCAAGAGCAGACAAGCTACTGTTCAGGTCACAGGGATGAAGACTTACAAGCCTGAGAAAGAAGGAAAATGTTAGGCAACTCTAATTCTGTCCCTGAGGCACCTCTCAAAAAAACTTGCTACAGGAGTTGGCTTGGCTGATACTCTAAGGCCAAATAACTACAGTGCTGCATACACTCTTAAAAGCCTTAAAGAGGAAAAGACTATAGTTTCTGTAGGCACACTGCTCATCTTGCCTGAGGCAAATACCCAAAAGTTCTGTATCTCTGAGATTCAAAGAAAGGAAGTAAGGTGCCTCACATGTCCTTAAA